ATGTCTACACATCGTATGCCACCGTGCTCTGACATTATCATGACTTTGCTGACGAATCAAGAACACTTACCGACTTCAATTCCAACTGTTAAAGGTACAGATAACAAGAACAGGTATCCGATAGCCATTACTTTTGATACCCACGTATATAAGCGCTTCGTTTGTGTTAAACTGATCGCCATTTTAGATTATCAAGCTGGTCGCGACTCTATTGATTTATCCTCTGACCTAATACGGAAGTGTATTGTCACTAAGCAACGATCGTCGCGCTTGGATAACTTTGTGAATTTCACAGTACGTAGGTCTCTAGGTCTTGTAGACCACGGTTTATCACATTCACAACTTGTCAACTTTCAATAATTTCATTATCACAGAGGACAAAAAATTATGTTTCAAAGATTTAAAGACGTTTGCTACAAACATTTACTGGCAGAAACTTGGGCATAGCCTACAGGCTATATAAAACCATAAGAAAATGTATTAAACTTGATGTTCTAATTTTGTTAGTTGAAAGCTAATAGGCCTAAAACAAAATTAAGAAATTCATTTTTTCTCAATTTCTTTTTATTTGATACTAAGCAACTTTTTTACTATTACTCAAAAAAATTAAATTTATAATTTTTTTTTAAATATTTATACTTTAAATGATGATTTTAATCAGTATAGATCTACAACTTTACCAGGGCTGTTTACTGTCGGTTGGAAAGTTGGATCGTGGGAATTATTTGATTGATTGATCAATTGAATTTTATCATCTCATTTTTACCGAGCTCCGATCACTGTCAGCTGAAGGCCTACGCAATTAACCCATGTGTCACGTATTTGAGAAATACTCCAGTAATGGAATATTTCCCTCAAAAGTTAAATAGCTTTAACTTTGTTTCACAACATGTGAGATTGGTGTGATAAGGTAGGGTGTTTCTATGCAATGGAGTTATGTTTACTCAAAACACTCTATATAGATTGTTTTTGTTTGTTTGTTTGTTTATTAGATTTTTCCACACATGTATAACATAAGCCTAACAATCAACCAAATTTGTCATTATACAATATTACAAAATTAGGCAATACAGTAGGCCTAGGCCTGTATTATGGTATATGCCAAAAATATTACAAAATAATATGATAATACATGGTAATATAAAATATTAGAGCATAAAAGTGTAAAAATATGAAGAAAACATGTTTAAAATTTAATATAAAAGTTGCCTAATAATATTATGATATTTAAACTCAAGATTACATTAAATATGGTGATGCAAGTGTGGATAGAGTTTAATATAAGTTTGCAAAATACTTTAAGTCATAAACCCCCTAATAATGGCCTACTAAATAATGGCCTAAACCTAATCCATGGCCATTGTCAGAAAATCAGCAAATTATTGGGCTGAAGTGATTTTATGTGGGAAGCCAAATATTTCCAGGTCTTCAACATTTGATTTCAAAATCATGACATGGACTGAGTCCTCTTTACATTACAGGTGCCGCAATTACAATAGGTATTGTTGCTTGTACAGTATTGTATCAAAGACCAGACTCCCCCGCGCGAAATTTGATTTAGTGTAGGTAATGCCATAGAGGGCGTTTTTTTATTTCTAAAGAATGGCGGATTGTCAAAGCGCAAAATAGTGAGCAAATCAAATTCATGTCAAAACAACGAACGTGTACTAGGCCCTGAGTGTTAGTTTTGTACAAATGCCTTGTCATCAGGAATGAACGGACCATACTGAAGCCAATAGTGATACATTTTTTTCAAAATTGAGGTCTGAGTCATGTGTGCTAATCATGATTTACAGTACTTTATATCTTTAACGTTAGGCCTACCTCAAGCTCAACAGCCACAGTTTAGGCTGTATGTGTGTGATCCCTACAGGGGAAAACACTTCATCTTAACACCCTGTGGTTGTGTAAATTTGGTCTATATGGGCCTAGCCTATGTAAGAGTTAGGTTAGTATATTTTGAGACCTAGGCCTAGTGCATTAGTAATAGACGAACAACGTTTTTACATAGGTTAAACTATAGTGTGCTGTCTGGTAATTATTGCACCCTTCCCTAAAAAAATTTGGAGATGACTTATGATGATTAAATCAAAACAAAACATGGGCTTAGCCTAGGCCTAGTTAGGCAAAGGGCACGCCTAGGCTAGGCCTAAATAAATAAATCTTAGCCTTTTATTGCAGAAGTATTAATGGATGAAGATAGAAAATCAAGTTGCAAATAGGCTTAGGCTATCTGAATATTATACAAAAGATGACATCAGCTGAACATCCAACCACTGGAACTTAAAATTCGGGAGACTAGAGGTGCATTGGTGATAAAGCACGGGCCCCACTCCTGAAATGTTGAACCCTGTAAGATTTTTTCATGCATGCATTCTGATCTATCGCATTATGTCAGTAACACATGAAAAATCCTTGTACGCTACAAAAAAAAATAAATAAAATTGGAACAGAAATTGCAATGTTCATTTATTTATTATAAATACTTAATTTTATGGTACCAAAAAGCCACAAATTATTGGTACATTGGTGTTCTTTTCTGAATATTCTGGAGAATTCAACAAAATTCTGTAGACTGGGAGATTGCATCATCCATGGAAATTTTGGAGACTCCCGATCAAATGTTGAGGGTAAGCCTCACACTACTAATTGAAACAGGTTAAAATATATTTAATATTCAATGAGGAATGTAAAATGTTTGATATTCAATAGGCTATATGCACTGAGTAGAAAGCATGTCAAGAAGAACTGCATCACAGATGTATTTAGACGAGTCGGTTCTTGGAGGACCAGTGTCCCGCAAGACTCCAGTTGATAACATTTCTATGGGATCGTCTCCTGGAGTTCCAATGGCAGCATCAACAGTAATGAAGACAAATAAATATCAAGAGTAAGGAATATTTTTTTCAATTTTTAAGTCTATCTATTCTATTCTTGTGGTGGTGATGATAAATGGTTAGGAAACATTTATTTATACTATATGATATAGTACTGTATACTATGTGAGTGTTCGTGTGTAAATTAATTATATATGTATTAAAGTGTATTCTGTGTGTATAATATGGTTTATCTTTATTTTTTATAGTATATTATTATATAGTATATATATATTTTCATAAATCCACAATAATATATTTCTTTGTATGAAGCAATTTCAAAAGCAATTAAAAAACACTGATTTTTTCATAACTCAGGTTTTTTTTAACCAGCCATCATGCATTATTGGTGAGTTCAATGGCCAAGCGGTTAGCAAGGGCGCCACAAGCTATAGCCATAATATCGGCGCTTGTTCGAACAGCATGCTCGCCTATGGTTCTGGTGTTATAACAAGTCTTCTCGAATAAGGACTATAAACCGTAGGCCCAGTGTATACAGTGGCTTGTGTGCACTATAAAGAACCCAGTACATCCTTCGAGACGAGTAATGGGATACCCCGGTGTACTGGAACAGACAGCCCCTGTGGTGGACGACGAGAGTTGCTGGTACTGGGCTACCGGGTAGCACAGACACGAAGGGACCCTTAGGGGCGAAGAAAGTCATTGATCAAGTTCCTAGTCCACGTATCAAGCGCCCTGAGCATCTTACATTAGATGGATATGTGCGCTATATAAAACTACACTATTATTATACTTAAAATGAAAAATGTGATGTATGCATTTTATATTACATGTTTTCTTCATTTTATCGTCCAGATATTTAGAGGAGGATACAAGAGGATCATTTTATGGTCAGCAACATTTTTTAAAGAATCCAAATCCTCAAGGCCTCACTGCTCTGAAGCCTTCAACCTTTGACCTAGACAGGCCTGGCTCGCAAAGTCCTCAACAGAGCAAGAAAAAGCTGAAAACAAAAGGACTTCTAGATAGCCTTGACTCAGAGAGCTCAAGTGATATTGATAATTTCCTAAAAACTCACAACCTCTCTGATATTTTGGAGAAGATGCCCTCGTCAAATTTGTCTCTAAGCATACGAACTGATCTAGGTAGAGACAGTCTGGGTCGAGAGAGTCTGGGTTTGAATAATACTGGATCCTCTTTGGGCATACTCTCTATTGATTCTATGCATGGTAAGATATCATCGTGTCTTGTTTCAATATCATGAGAAATTTTGATTTAAAGCCCTGTCCAAACTATTAAATTTTATTTGATAAAAACATGTTACATGCTACAATCCTTAATATTGTGGTCTAAAAGCACAATATTGGGGCATAGTAAGCCATAAAAACTCTCCCCTTGAAAAAAACCTCACCCTAGAGATTTTATTCTGGGGCCCTGACTGAGGCTGTAGTCGTTACTTAGTTTGGACCCCCTGTCAGAAAATTTCTTGAGCCACCGTTGCAGTGATTTGAGCTGAAAATGTTATTGACTATTGGTTTCCATTGTGTACATTTCATTGTTGATTATTTACAACCATATTTTTTCACAGATCTGTCTGGTAGCCTTCTTCAAATTGGCAGTCCAACAAACAACCTCAGAGAGTTTGCAGACCCCGATACAACCCTCACCCCAGACACCCCACTGTCAGGGATCAGTGATGAAGGTTCGACAGACTTTGGATTCCTCGATACAGGAGCTGATAAAGCAGGAACTCATAAAGAATTGAAAAGTGATCGGTATGAAATCTCTACAGGTTGTTTGGATTGTGTTATTAAGTCAAATATTTATCCAGAAGGAACAGGGAAAGATTGCTGTAAAGATGATGGTGTTATGCAGAGAGATTTTAATACTGAACAAATTCAAAGATCAAATTCCAGCATTGTAACTGGTCGAGATTCTGATGCAAAACATACCAAAGCCAAAGACAATCACCCTACTTCAATGCAACCAATGTATTCAGGTAAGAAAACTTTGAATATATTACATGAAACGCTATTATAATATTTTACCACTACTACTGCACTATTTTCAATACTATTAATCAACCAATTAACAAGGATTGCCAGAATGCAATGTTAAATGTAGCTATGATGTCGTGCACTTTGAATTTCATATATATACTGTGGACAAACACCCTCCCTTTGAGTTTTCTAAGCCCAGCCAACTAAAATTGTTTAGTTTTGCTTTCTTTTAACCATGAATTCAGAGGCACAACTACATTGGTTGTGTATAGGGCACATGCCCCAAGTAAAGGGGGGAGTGAAAAGATTAGATAATATTTATATACGGCTTTCAAACTTAAAAAATATTGATGATTATTTTTTGAATGACTGACACAATAACAAGTTCTGATGCTGTACAAGAACCTTCGAGCTGGAAAGGGGCACCATTTCCATTCTTGGCTCCGGTGCTCCCTTACACCCAGTATGAATTTTAGACTTGTTACTATTTTACCTTTGAAGCGAAGATGGGGTGAGTAATGGTTGGCAGTGTACCCTAAAATTATACCTAGGCCTTGTAGTAAAAAAAATTGCTGATTTTTTTAAAGTCACTGTGCTTGGGTAAAAACAATTTCTTTTTGTTTATTAATAACTTTAATTTCCTTAAACAGAAAGTGGTCGCAGATTTACTCCAGAAAAGCTTGACTCCATGTTTTTTGAACACAGTCCAATGGCTAATATACCACGACCAGGCAGCGGAGATGGTGAGGAAATCTTCACACCAAGGCTGCCATCTCAAGGCCAAGAACAAACAAGTAGCCATGTTAGTCTTCCAAAACAGACATCAAAATCAACATCTGATGGTTTTGTAACAAATGAGGCATTGCGTCAGAACAGTGCTAATGACATCAGTTTTGCTGGATCAAGTCTTCCATTTAGGCAATCTCAGAAGAGTCCACCTCTGGGGGCAAGAAGGCCATCAGAAGGAAGTGAAGGCAGCTGGCAAGATGCTGCCATCACCAGACAAAAGAAGTTCACAAAGTCTTCCCATAAGAAAAAGAATACTAATATAGAGGCAGTTTTAAAGCAAGGTAGGTTTTCTATTTGGCAATTTGAAATGGTAGTAGAAATACATCACATCAGGATGTCTGTCAGACATAACAACTACAGTAACCAATCAGACTTTTTATTCAAGGAATTTCAGGGGTATGTTTATGCTCCACAAACTTCCTCACCCATATTGCTTTACGAGTGGCTGGTGTTTATGGGACATTTGCAACAATATTCAAGGGACACGGCTTAGCAGAATGGTTCATTCCCTCCTTAGCAAAGCAGTTCGTTTCCCAGTTCATGACCACATGATTTTTAAAAATGTGCTGAATTGTTATATTTCACTTATATATTTATTATTATAAATATTATCAAATCTTGTAGATATTCGTGGACGTGCTATTGGTAGTGAATCTATGGACAGCAGTGAAATAGACACAGAAGATGAACTGGAAGCTGTTAGAAAGGTCAGAAAAAACTATTCTGTTCTGTAACCCTCAATCAAAGCTTACCCAACTAATATATACATGTATGTATACACTGCTATTTATACATATAAAAAATTCCACTCCCACTAAGCCCAAATTCTTATTTACGCCAGCCCCCATCTTTTTGACTTTAATAGGAATTGGAGGAGCGTAACAGCTACGTGGAACCGGCTGATAGAGAATGCATAGGTGAGAGCGAAGAGAGTAGTAATGATGGACGTCCTGGCCTAGAAGGTGGTAGTTCAGATGAGAATGATGTAGCTTATAACTACAATTCAATCCAAGGTAGATCATGGCTTTAATAACATACCTGACTATGTATTTACTGTTTAAAAAAAAAATGTTTAATTTTATATTACATATTTTGGATCCATCAGAGTGCTTTATAACCTTTCTTAAATGCCCAATAATAACCTTCACATACTCCAGCCTTGTACATAAAATTTTTGCATTATACTGTATATTCTGGGTGGGACAATTCCATTATTTTTTAGGTAAGTTCTTAAAAGGATATATAATATATATATCAGGTAAGCATCTCACTTATAGACCAACAACATCACTTCTGGTTTGTGTGATTTTTAGTTTTTGGTGGTTTCTCAACAGGTCCCAGAGAATCAGCAGAGGGTGAGGTGATAGCCCCTGTGCCTGGTGATGGTGGGGGTGGTGGTGATGGAATGAGTGATGGTGAGGATAATAACGTCGCCTCTGCTTCAATTCAACCGTCTCTCACTACAATGGATTTTTTTCACGGGCTTGGGTCGCAAGGCTCAGCAAGGACTGATCAACATTCAAGGAATATCGAAGTGAGTAAATTATGTTGATGATAGTTATTGATAGAAATAATTATAAGCATAGAAATAAATATTATGAAGGTACAGTAGAACCTCGTTTTTACGTACCCCAGTTATACGAACCCTCCGTTTTACGTACGCCTCGTATCGACGATGACGTCATCAAAAACCCCGAAAATATTCAAAACAAACAGCCCTTTTCAGAGCAACCATAAGTAAAAAGACTATTACAATAAACTATAACAATAAACAAACCATAATAATGCAACGTAATTTCATTAAACAACAATATTGATTGAGTCTAACACCGAGTTGTTATAATCTAAAACCACGTGAACTGAGTGAGATGAACAACTACCGATGGTGCTCAAAACAATTGCTTAGCTTCGTGTGGCAAACCATGAAAACACTTGTCTGGTCGAATTTTCTACACGAAGCTGAATAGGCATAGTTTCGTACACGAACGCTAATTGGTTGGCTCGCCCAGTGCAGTGAACATGGTTGCTGTTTCACGTACACGAACGCTAATTGGTTGGCTCGCCCAGTGCAGCGCACATGGGTTTAGTTTGTCTCACCAGGCCCAGACAACACCACAGCTCTGTTGTTTAAAATAGGCATGAAGGGGAATTCCCAAGTTATATCTTTGTCGTATAGGTAATCTTACAATATTTTCATGTTCTTTAGTTAAATCTTACAATATTTTCATGTTCTTTTAGTTAAATAAAAGATATAAAGTGATGAATTATTACACTAGACACACGGTTTTATTTGAACACTTTATTATGACATTGTAAAGTGATGAATAAAAACACTAAACACATGGTTTTATTCATAGGCCTAGAGGCTTGCTTTAGCCTAGCTAGGTAACATCGTTCGTTCATGCACACATGTATTGAGTCTTACGTACGTATTAGGTCAAAGGTTACCACAAATTTAACCCAACCTCTATTTTACGAATCCCCCGGTTTACGTACGCCCTCCGGTCCCGTGCCGTACGTAAATTCGAGGTTCTACTGTAATTACAAAAGGGATAGAAAAGATTCAAATAATTATAATAATTACACGAAATATGTACATGTAGGAAATATAATTACAGAATGTATTAAGAGTTATGCGGTACTCGGATGGCACTGTATAATATACATAATGTAATAATATATATAATATTAATTAACAGTAACAATGATGATAAATAATAATGAAATTTATATATAATAATATATCTAATGGCATATACACAATGTTATACATTTATAATGATGCAGATTAGTGTACACGCAATATGCACATAATGAAATGTAATTACAGAATGTATTCAAATGTATGTAATACTCATGGTAGAATACACATAATGTAATAATATATATATATATAATAAATAATAGTAACAATTATAATAAATAATAATTACATTTAAATATAATATATCTAACAGAATGTATACAATTTAATACCTATAATGATGCAGATTAGTATAATAATACATACATAATAATAATACATGATAATAATAATTATATTGTTTCAGGCAACAATTATACTGTAAGTTTAAATAAATTATAAGATATATTTTCCTGTTAAGTTTGTTATCTTGCATGGCTGAATTTTTTTTTCAGGGTCGGTCTCAAGGCATGTCACAGGGTCCATCACGGGGTCAGCCTGTAGGGAACGGCACAATATCATCACCTTTTCGTCAAGTACGGTTTGCAAGTAAAGATGAAGTCAACATGTTATCTAGGCTAGACAGTGACTCCGACTATTCGAGGGGAAGACCTTCTAATGTAAGTTGATTCTGAAAGATTCAGTAGTAATTGCCTACTATTTTTTTTTTTGGATCAAACATTCTTTATTTTCACGAATGATTCTCTGGTATAAACAAGAATTTTATTCTCACGTTTATGAGGTGTCAATACAAAATGAGGTTGCCATCCCAAAACCAGCATACTGTTGCTAATCATTGAACTGAGTAATAAGCATTAGAATGTGTGGCAGCATTGTATACTTCAGTACAGAGAAGCCCTAATACTTTTACTCATAACTTTGGCAATAGTAAGTCAAATTCAGTAAATGACCACCATTATAATCCTTAAGAGAATAAGAATATATTAAAAAGTAAATTTTCATTTTTCGGTCACGGGTGTTGGTTTTGGTATGGCTTCTCTGTAGTAAAGTATACATTAGTGCCACATTCTTATGTTACTCAGTTTAACAATTAGCGATAGTACGCTGTTTTTGGGATGGCATGTCTCATATGGGGAAAGTCAGGCCAGTGTTCACTGCTGACTATTCATGTTGCGTTATGTTCCCCTTTCTATTAGACTTCCATTTCAAGTGATACCAGTAGATTGGAAGGGGGTGATGTAGAACTTCCATCCATGTTCTTGAATCCTAACACTCATCGTCATGGTGACAGTGCCCTGAATACATCTGGTAGCCAATGGCAAGCGAGCAGTATCCACTTTGAAGAAGGGGAGTCTGCATTTGATGGCGATGGCAAGGAAAGTATGACAACATATCAATCACCTCAAAGATATAATCCATTTGACCAAGGTGTAAGTAGATATACTGTTTTATTTATAATTTAATTCTTCATATTTTACACAACCAATTACAATAATTAAAAGTGATCTATGTATGTTGTAATAGAGATCGTTAGAAGTATATGATTACTTAAGCCACCTGAGAAAGAAAAGGACAAAGAGGAACTCATTAGATTTTCAGACAGTGAAGTTGAGCATATGTGGATATAAAATCTTTGCTAAGGTCAATGTTTGTACCATTTTTAGAGCAAGCTGTTGTCATGTGTTACTGGTTACATTTCCAATGCCTTTTTTGCATCAGGAGATATAATAATATGAGTGATGTTTGTCCTACCTGAATGCTCAGCACATAAAAAAATGTATATATTAATGCTTGAACAGAACTGTTGTTGGTTGAGACTGGCTCCAGTCATTTGCTTCCCTATTTTTCTTTCATCATTACCATTAAAAATGCTTGCGAAAAAAATCTTACAAGTGGTTTGGGTGGGAGTCGAACTCACGACCTCCTGATAACTAGCCTGACACCAGGCTAATTGTGTAGCGATTTTTCTTGCAGTTACAGAGCAATTGTTAATCCCGTTCATTGTGTCCACATGCTTAAGTGTTGCTGCTGTATCGGTGCAATTGCTTGCAACCCACACAAGTACCCATTTATACTTCTGGATGGAGAGAAACAATGCAGAAAAAGTGTTGACCTGGATGTTGGGAGACCAAATCATTGCTGGTGCTCCAAGCTGCTTCCATGTTGTGGACCTGCGGTGTTATGTCTTCATGTTTTGTCCTAGACATTGTTGCCTTTTTTTGCGCTACTTTTCCGACAATTAGATATACAGTACTCATGTGGGAATTTCTTTTTTTAATTTTAGGTCGCAGACTCTGGACAACCTTTCAATGGCCGATCTTCTCTAGGTGACTTTGGCATGGGTAACATGGACATAACCTTTTCACAGAAGTTCTCTTTTGGTGACGATGAATTTTCGCAGCTGGAGACATCTGCCAGAAGCTCTGGGAGTGAGCACAGTGGCAGTACCAGAAGCAGCAGTAACACCAGTAGACAGGTTGCTGGTAATTCATTTCAAGGTAATTGTGGATAAAAAATGGTACTGTAATTAATAAAGAATAAGTCATAGAGATATAATAAGAATACTAGAGCGCTAACTGCAATGTATTCGATGTTCGAAATACGCAGAGCTGTGTGTGTGTACCATCCAAGATGGCTGCCATAGATTTAGCCAATCAAATTTCGCCTAAGCGCCATCGTTTGCAATTGCGCCCTAAATTTACACAGAAAGTTCAGTACAGCTAGTTACCCGTATGTTTGAAACTCGAGCGTTGCGGTGTATGGGTGTAATGTACACGATTTTAATTTTCATTCCTTGGTACTTTATTTTTGAATAGGATGCTCCACTTGGCCTCATTTTGGCTACGATAGTTTAATAATTTATTAATTATTACCATTACTCATTATCATTAATGAAATAATAGTCAGTCACTGAGTCAGAGGGCTTATTTATGGTAATAATATGTATACTGAGCCTGAAGGTGGCGTTTTAGTACGACGGCCATCTTGGATGGTACACATACATAACTCTGCATTGCTCCGCCATCTTGTCAGCACTCTAGTTGTTTAATAGCTCTATGGAATAAGTACTTTGTTTGAACAACCATTGTTAAATGGTGGTTTATATGTTCTCAAATGTTTTGCTTTATGGAGTGCAGGCCTATTGATACTAATCGATCATCACCACCATCATAGTACTCTTCATCATAATCATCATCACTATTATTATTACCATCATCAAATTGAATGAACTATTATTATTATCATCATCATGTCATATCAGTATAAAATGTTGATTAAATTTTATTTTAGTCCTCTTCTGCACTGCTTCACATATAATTCTTCCAGTAAAAGTCAGAATTTGAATTAATGCAGACCTATTGTTACTTTTTGGTTATCATCATGTTTCGTCATCATCATCATCATCATCATTATAATCCTCTTCATCTTCATATCATTATCATAATTATCATCAATTTTTAAAAAAATTTCTGTGCTGCTTGACATCAAATTCTTTAAGTACAAAGTCAGAACTAGTCAATCTTGCTGCAGTATTATCAATATTTTATTGAAGTTTATTGTCTAGTTTATAGTCTATTATTTCCATATTCCCCTCCTTGTCAGTCCATAGTCTTATATTGTTCCCTCACTTTCCCCCCTCCTATGGATATAGTATTGCAACAAAAGTTGCAAAAAGATAGCATATAATAATTTTTTTTTGTTTCATGCGGTTCATAGGTAGTGAAAGTGGCATTAAGGAACAACACAGCTCTGTCTACCTTGATAATGATGGTCAAGTTGTCAATGACTTGGCATTTAGAAACTCACTACCCACAATGCATCAAGACAGTGAGTGTTATATCATTTTTCATAGATGAATTATATTTTTGCATTTAGACATTATATAAACAAGTTATTATATTTCATATAGTATATTTTTTTGTGTTTGTTTTAGATATTAAAAAAAAATTAGGAATATTGCTAATAACATTGTTTCTGTTTTGTTTATGGTAATGATGAGGATAATACAGTAATGGAAGTTGTTTATAATGGTTGTATTGATGATGTTGGTGTAATAATGTTTTTAATGATGAAAATGGTTAGGATGGTAGCAATGATAATAATGAAATATGATGATATTGATATTTAATTATTTATTTATTTATATAGATGGCCCCTTTTCTGCTTCTGATAATAGTTTTACTGTTGATGACTTAGGATTTGAAAATGATGAATTCATAAGTGGAGGTAAGACAAACCTAAGTTGCTTAAATCAACTTATGTGTAAAAAACAAGAACATTATTAAAAAGAATATAATGTTTAATGTTTGATTAAATTGCTATGGTGAACATTTTTTTAAAACAAGAGTATGCAATTGTTTCCCTGAATCATGCATATGTAATTGCCCACATTTCAAAAGTAATCTCCAAAAAGCTTTCCCTGAAGGTGACATGTACTTAAGATGTAATAAAGTGTGATACTTTTTTGTATTCTTATACTCAATGGAAATTCCAAAAAATGTATATGATTATATGATAGACGGCAGCATATGCTCAAGGCTAAATCATAAATATTTTATTAGCGTAAAGGAATTGCAGTTTCAGCGAGTAATGTGCTTTTTAATTTTAATATAGGGGATGCCAAAGCACTGATAGATGAAGCAGAGAAATCTTTTCAGCAAGAGAATTTATTTAGACAGGTAAATATTGTGGCAAAGAGGACCAATATTAAATATGCTTTAATTATTTTTCAATCCTTAATTATTATAAAAGTTATTTTATTCCATAAATATGAATATATACAATTACAAAGATGCAGGGCAACCAATGTTTTACTGTCATTAATTCTTCCTGTATTTTTGTTGTATGAAAAAGGGAAACATTGTTGTTTGTTAGATGTAATTGAAATAAGTTATAAAATAGACAATTGGTCTTATAGGATGAGCATATGTCACCTGAACAAGCCAGTAGTGGTCAGTTTGATTGGTCAGCAGGTAACACAGCCTCAACAGGTGTTGAGAACATCTTAGGTGGATACAAGGACATTATTGGTACAGAAGACTTCTGTAGGATATCCATCGGAGCATTCATGGAAGCCCGGACGGAAACTCTTGGCTCTCTTTCTGGGAATGGAAATAATCCTAGAGTAAGCATTGGCTTTGTGTATTTAGTATCGCTAGACAATACTTCATCAGTTCCTGTATTACAACAACTCAAACTGTTCAAGATTATTTATAAATTCATTATTACTTAAGATTATTTTTTGTTTGTAATTAATTGTACATTATTTATAGTTGCTGCAGCTTTCAATTAAAACAATATCTTATATTATTGTTAATACTTCCATTTTAAATATCTTAGCCTGAGTTTGGTGCTGGTAAGGTGGTATCCCCATCGTCTGGCCTACCCCATGCACTCTATGACAATGTGGAGACTTTGGATGACACTTCCCTCCAAGAAGCTTCTACCTTTGATGGTTCTCAAACTTTAGCTGATGACACAAGTAAGTTAAACTGATGTATTCATTGTGCATACTATATTATAATCAAACCTGTCACATAAATTGAGCTGTAGCTTGGTGGCTAAGGTACTTACTTACAGTACCAGGGTCGATGGTCAAAGCCAGAAGTCAAGAGTTATTCTCATGATCTTTACACTTCTAATCTAAGTCAAGCCTAATTATTATTATTATTCATAAAGTATAATTGGGCTCTGTGGTAAAACAGTATCCGGTTAATGAACTGCTTTCCTTAGTATAAATAAGAATGGATAAAACCAATTAACAATCGCAGTTGTAAAACTTCTACATTTTCATTGTCAATATTAGGTTAGATTTATTTACATAAAATATATTAAAAGATATGACTTTATAATTTTTTTGTTTTAATATTTTGCTTCATTTTCCAATTTTTTTCTCCTCTGTCCTCTCAAATTTTGGTATTATCCTTTTATTTGCAGATTCAGAAACAATGGACATAAAAAGTTGGAAAACTTCAAAAAGTAATTTTGAAATGGACAGTGGAAATAGCACATACAATGTAACATCAGGTAGCATGAGTCGGACATTAACAGGTGACACGTCTGAATTAGAAAGAAGCAATCAAGATTTAGGATTAGATAATAGAGGCAATCGTGCTACACCAACAGATAAAAAGAGTGGTGATTTGGACATGACCCACACCCCAGCTGTAAACATGAGTGCAATAGCTTCAGCAATAGTAAACGCATCCAGTTCAACGAAACCACAAGAATTAGCTGCTATGATTCTTGCGCTGTCAAACAAACCCAAAGACACTGCTGGTAAAGGAGTGTCGGAAAAGAGTGATCCGAGATCAAACATTGGTCAGAAAGAAGCAGAGAAAAGAAACAGTACATCTGAAAGTACAAGGCAGGGTCGTGACAATATGGCACCTGCAACAAAAACTCAATATGAAAAGTCTTCCATGTTTAAGAAAGACATGAAAAAACAGGAAGGAATTGAAAACCAAAGCAAGCAAAGCAAGACTGTAAATCAGAGTGATCAAATTCCTTTTTCGCAAAATATTAAGAGATCATCCAGATCGAGCCATGGTAGAGAAACAAATCTCAGAGAAAGACACAGTGAACTTCACAAAGACAGGCAATACAATTCTTCACGCCCTCAGAGAGTGGGAGACGGGGTTGAAGATGCCCTGAGGTCAAATTCTATGTCAAGTAATGATTCAGTAGAAAGTGAAAAAAATGCTGTCATGCAATATGTTACTCCATACAATGCGAAAAGGGACGTTACAGAACAACAAAGCAGAGAAGCATATAGCAAAACCTCTATCACATCCAAAGAGAAACCAGAAGGAACTCAAGGAAACTGTGCCACAAAGAAATCTGATAATGTCTCAAGGAACTTAAAATCTTCTGATATAGGTGTCAGAGATTTCAATGCAGTTGTACAGCTTCCTGAGGTGTATTCATTACAGTCTGGTGAACCAAAGGTTGGACAGGTTGACCCAATGCAGACTGCATCTAAACCTTTAAATGAGGGGGACGACATGGAAATGTCTGATGCCATGGTTGTTGAAATGCTAAGGAAATCCAGGCCGAAGAAAAGTGCACAGGTTGTGAAAAACCAAAAAAGACAAGATACAGGTCATGGGGAACCATTCATAAAAGAAGATGTCCAAAAGGTGGCACGTTCTAACCACAGACCTCATGCTATAAACAGTTCTAAAAATGGACATGATAATGTCAGTCGAGGTTCTGTAACACGGCAACCGCATGATCAATTAAAGGGTAGTTACTCCAAAAAAGCTAGCACTGAGTCAGAATGTAAAACAGAAAGTAAACGCAGTGAACCTATGAATCAGCTACAACCTACTGCAACTTCCAGACATAGCAGTACTCAAAAATTGAAATATTCTGGCCAGAATGAAGGGCTCAGTGATATGCAAATAAATAATGGTTATCAGCCTCAAGATTCTAGTAGTTGCCAGACTATTAAGTTGCCAGCAAGACCAGTAGAGAGGGAACAGCTGCATTCAATTGAAAACAAGCATAAAAAACCTCATGAAGAAGATCATCTACTGGACAGCCAACAAAAACATCTACCCAAGACTGAAAGTATGATTATATCAAAAGAGAATTCACTTAATGTAGATAAAAGTATGTCTAATGTTCCACGTCCTCACAATCTTTCTGACACCGGTAACCATGTTGGTGTTGGTTTGCAAGAACCAGAAAATCAGAATAAGAGATCACCAGAGAAGAAAGGTAAGAGATCATCACCAGGTAAAGGGCGATATTCAAGAAGATCACGAGACTCTGAAGTAATAATTGTTGGCAAACATCGCATTGTACCATCAGAATTAATGTCAAGGCCATCAGATATTATGAACGAAACTGAAGACAGCTTCTTCAACATAACTCAGAGCCAACCAAATGATGCTGAAAAAAGTCCAGAACAAACTGTTGGCAAAGAAATAGAAGATGACAAAATATTGATGGACATTGTAAGAGGAAATCTTAGTCGGCAGCAAATGCATGTGTCACCATCACAAAAATCAAAGAAATCAATATCACCTAGGACTCATGAAAGGGATAGTGATTTTCCAAGGCCACAGCAGAAGTATAGTTCTGCAGCTCACGTGTTGCCATCTCCCTCTCGTAACAGACATGCTCCTGAAGAACATCCACATCAACCTCAACTTGTCAGTACTGCATCAATTTCAAACGACCAAAGATATTTAGCCCCACAACTTTCAATTCCTATTTCATCAATACCTAGTCATGGCTTTACCAACCAGACATCTTTATTTCCAACTAATATGCATCATGATCCTATCTCAACCTTTCAACCTATCTCTGATAGCAGAAGTCTTTCAGTGCTGCCACCACCTGGTAAACCCACTTTATTAACTAGCCAATCACTTCTCAATACTGTTGTTGCTAGCCAGTATTTAAATGACAGACCAATAATGACAACCCATGCCACAGATCAAAACAGTAGCCACACCAGTACTGGTAGTAGCCACTTCTTTGGATCTACATTTCCAAATGCATATGGAATGCTGCCACCAACCAGCCAAGGGAGTCGTTATTTACCGGTATCTTCAGCTCAGGGACAACCTGCAGCTGGAAGGGCTCACTTTATATCAACTCTTCCTAGTGGTACAACAGTCCCACATTTTCATGGTAAGAAAAAGATAATCATTGTATTGATTATTTCGTAATGTAAATAATAATATACTCATTGATGACTTCTGTGATTTTTGTTATATTTCATCTCACTATCACAACAATCAATTACTTTGGACATTGAATTTAATGTAAAATGCACTCTTATTCAAATTATTTATCCTGCTCATAACAGGGAGTGCACTCTTATTCAAGTAAGTCATCCTGCCCATACCAGGGAGTGAACTATTATTCAATTAAGTCATGCATGTAATAGGGAGTGCACTACTATTCAAATAAGTCATCCTATTTGTACCAGGGAGTGTCCTCTTATTCATCATCTTGCACTTATTCTGGAATGCATGATATTCATAACAATATTTTCTTTTCTTTAGGACCATCATCATTGCCTCATGCAAGCATCGTTACTAGCCTTGTTGTACCAAGACAGCTTAGGTTTCAGGGAGTATGTTGTGTTGGTATTGCTGCACAGGCAAAGCTTCCCCTTCACAACCCATCCTCCAGATGGTTGCAATGCTCACTGGAGGTGGTCTCAGTGACAGTCAATGGAGAAGAGGTGAGAAATAATACACATATCTTGAGCTTTAATAATGAATAAACTGCACTGCAAATTCTATATAAAGTAGTAACACCCTTTAAAAATATATGGAACATTCAAGCTTGGTTCATCTGTTCAAATCCTATAAAGATTTTCTCATGATTCCACTCTCTATACCTCATAATCAGAGTAGTTTGTATCTTATTTGAAATATTTAAGAGGTCTTCTGAATTTCACCTGAACTTCTGGGCATAGCTGAAATATTTACCTATGCAAATATCGGTTAGAATATAGAAATATAGTTCTCAAAATTAACTTTGTTTTAAATAGCATACATATATTATGTATGTATATATATATGTATATGTGTGTATGTGTATGTATATATGCCTATGTATATATGTGTATGTATATAGGCCTATGTATATATGTGTATGTATATCTGTGTATATATATAT